CTGAGTTAGTGGGCATCTGAGTGAGTGGGCATCTGAGTGAGTGGGCATCTGAGTGAGTGGGCATCTGAGTTAGTGGGCATCTGAGTGAGTGGGCATCTGAGTGCGTGGGCATCTGAGTGAGTGGGCATCTGAGTGAGTGGGCATCTGAGTGAGTGGGCATCTGAGTGAGTGGGCATCTGAGTGAGTGGGCATCTGAGTTAGTGGGCATCTGAGTGAGTGGGCATCTGAGTGAGTGGGCATCTGAGTGAGTGGGCATCTGAGTGAGTGGGCATCTGAGTGAGTGGGCATCTGAGTGAGTGGGCATCTGAGTGAGTGGGCATCTGAGTTAGTGGGCATCTGAGTGAGTGGGCATCTGAGTGAGTGGGCATCTGAGTGAGTGGGCATCTGAGTGAGTGGGCATCTGAGTGAGTGGGCATCTGAGTTAGTGGGCATCTGAGTGAGTGGGCATCTGAGTGCGTGGGCATCTGAGTGAGTGGGCATCTGAGTGCGTGGGCATCTGAGTGAGTGGGCATCTGAGTGAGTGGGCATCTGAGTGAGTGGGCATCTGAGTGAGTGGGCATCTGAGTGAGTGGGCATCTGAGTGAGTGGGCATCTGAGTGAGTGGGCATCTGAGTGAGTGGGCATCTGAGTGAGTGGGCATCTGAGTGAGTGGGCATCTGAGTGAGTGGGCATCTGAGTGAGTGGGCATCTGAGTGAGTGGGCATCTGAGTGAGTGGGCATCTGAGTTAGTGGGCATCTGAGTGAGTGGGCATCTGAGTGAGTGGGCATCTGAGTTAGTGGGCATCTGAGTGAGTGGGTATCTGAGTGAGTGGGCATCTGAGTGAGTGGGCATCTGAGTGAGTGGGCATCTGAGTGCGTGGGCATCTGAGTGCAAGATGGTAGGATCTCTAGGCGCCGAAAATTGGAGGCTGAGCCGCATATTGTGACACCGACGCTCATGATCCACCAAGAGAGTGAGTGGGGGCGTTTGAGTGCACGATAATAGTGAGTGGGCATCTGCGCAAGATTTTTGCTGGGTGAAGATCATCTCTTTTGTTGGGGACAAAAAGAGCGCCTCTGGTGTTTTTGAGAGGCAGTGACAGGAACAATACCGCACCTGAATTTTGCCTTGCGAATACGCCAACATCTTATCCTATCTTCCCATCGTTTTTCCGGCCTCCTCTTCCGCTTTCCCTAATCCCCAGCTGGCGTCCCTATGGAGAACATACTGTACCTCGGAGGCCCTAATATCGCAGCTGAGATTTACAATAAAGAGTACGCCAACGCGCGCCTATGTGGCGCCGCCACGTGGCGCGTTCCCATGGCAGCGTTCCTCCGCCAGCGCAACTTCGCAGTATGGGACAACAGCGACCTAGTCACCCACGAGGTCATGGGTGGTCTCAAGAATGTCTACGCGATCGGGGCGGGGATTGTTGCCGGGTCGACGCGGGACAGCGCGACGTCAAAATCGGTGTATTTCGCGCATAGCACCAGCGAGATGATCTTTGTTACGCACGTGCTGACAAAGGAGCCGGAAAGGCTCGCCGGGCCGCTATTGGCGGACACGTATGTGACTCTATTGAAGGGAAGGAACGCGTGGTATGGGCAGCAGCTTGCGGAGGGGAGGCTGACGGCGGAGATGGGCGATATGGTGGAAGGCAAGGGGCTGATTCAGGTGAGGAGATATGGGTGATAATAGTAAGGAATTAGTGGTTGGATCTTAAGACAGGGTGGCGGTGGGCTATTGAAGGGGCGGAACGCGTGGTATGGGCAGCAGTTGGCTGAGGGGAGGCTGACGGCTGAGATGGGTGATATGGTGGAAGGCAAGGGGCTGATTCAGGTGAGAATGGAAAGAGATACGTTGAAGGTAATGCACTTAGTAGGTGAGATGTGATGTTTCTAGGATTCTCAGAAGCTGCTCAGAAGATGTTGGTGTGAAGGCAAATCAGTCACTGGGTGGGCGATTGAAGGGGAGGAACGTTTGGTGAATCGCATCCATGTTCTCATGGCTGATCCTGCTCTCCATTTGTTCTCTGGGCACCGCCCCAACGACCTCGTGGCGTCCGTCCAGCTCTGCCTGCTGACTGACACTGACACCCATTCTGCCCGCCCTGTTTTGAGTCGACTCAAAACACTCCTCGTGGCTCTCATCCAGCTCTGCCTGCTGACGCTGACACCCATTCTTCCCCCCCCTGTTCCCCCCCTTCCTCTTTCCCCCTCCCCAGGAAGTGTCAGCAGTAGCAGCGTTTTACACAGTACTGAGCGAACCGGCCTACAAGGTGCCCCACCCCGTCACCAACGAGCTCGTGGCGCCTATCGAGCTCTGCCCCATCCTGCCTTCTCCCTTCTCACACTGACACCCATTCTGCCCCTTTTTTGTCCCCCCCCAACTTCTTCTTTCCCCCCATCCTCCCCAGGGAGTGTCAGCAGTGGCGGCCTTTTACACCGTGCTGAGTGAACCGGCCTACAAGGTGCCCCACCCCATCACCAACGACCACCTTGCAGGCACCCATGGAGCTCTGCCCCCTTCCCACTGCACACCCTCTTGATGCACACCCATTCTGCTCCCTCTGTCCCTTCCCTCCTTCCCCAGGGAGTGTCAGCAGTGGCGGCCTTTTACACGGTGCTGAGTGAGCCGGCCTACAAGGTGCCCCACCCCGTAACCAACGAGCTTGTGGCGCCCATCGAGCTCTGCCCTATCCTGCAGACGCTCTACCACATTCTGCACGTGCGGTGAGTTCCCTCTCTGTCATGCTTCTATGCATTCCTCCATGCACCTTGTGGCACCTATCGAGCTCTGCCCTATCCCGCAGACGCTCTACCACATCCTGCATGTGCGGTGAGTGTTGGGACACACGCTCATACACTAGGAATTTCGAGACGTCTCAGAGCTCTGCCGCGTACTTGCGCACTTGCGTGCTTGTGCAGACGCTCTACCACATCCTGCACTTGCAGTGAGTGTTAAAGTAAGCTCTCATGCATTCGCCCATGCTCCACGCACCACGCACCATCCACCACACACCATCCACCACGCACCATCCACCACGCACCACACACCATGCACCATGCGTAGCTCTGCCCCTACAACCCCTCCCCCCCCTAGCCTTCTCTTACCCCTAACGAGAACTGAGATCCTGAGGGACGAGAACTTGTACGACCCAGCACAGTGATTAGCCACTTCCCCCAACACCCCACCGCACCCCCCTCCCTTCCCCAGGGATCTCCCATGTGAAGCCATTCTGGACATGCCAAGGGATGAGAACATGGATGACCCCTGCTTGTCTAAACCCCCTCCACCCACCCCCCCTCCCTCCACTCCCACAACACCCATCTTCCTGTGACCTCCCATGTGAAGCCATTCTGGACACACTAAGGGATGAGAACATGGATGACCCGGCACAGCACATAGCCAGTCTTGACTCTCCTGAAAAACGTATCCCGTGCTCCCCTCTCTCCCACCCACCCACCCCCCATCCCCTCCTTGCTCCAGTGACCTCCCATGCAAAGCCATTCTGGACAAACTAAGGGACGAGAACATGTACGACCCGGCATAGCGCATACCAACGTCTTCCTCTGTCCGTTTCCTCCCCCCCCGCCCCATCCCCTTCTCTCCCCCAGTGACCTCCCATGCGAAGCCATTCTGGACACACTAAGGGACGAGAACATGTACGACCCGGCGCAGCGCATAGCCTCTGCACCGGAGCGGTGTTATGTGTCCAAACTGCTGGACCAGCACCCCAGCAGCAACGACTTGAGTGATGCTGCTGCTCAGGCTGTGAACGCATTGAGACTGTGAATATTGCTGTGGTGGAGAGTGAACGAGGTTAGGGAAGTGCACGCCAGCCAGCACAGCGCATAGCCTCTGCACCAGAGCGGTGTTATGTGGTTGAACTGCTGGACCAGCACCCCAGCAGCAACGACTTGAGTAATGCTGCTGCCCGGGCTGTGAACGCACTACGATTGTGAATAGCAGAGTCAGCAACAGTCTAGGGAATATTGCTGTGGAGCGTAAATAAGTCTAGCGCAGTGTATGCCAGCCAGCACAGCGCATAGCCTCTGCACCGGAGCGGTAGGTATCGCGTGACTCTGCCTGTTCAGCAGCAGAGTCTTTAGTGGTATGCGCAGAGTTATGTACGGTATGTGTGCGCATGTTGTAGCAGCATGGTCTTTATGGTGCATGCATGTTTTTGAGGGGCATCATTGACATCAGATGACAGACTTGGTCAAGGCATTGTTTCAAGACTTTCAACAAGCAGCGAAGCCCTTCACTGTGCATTGTCAGCAAATTGTGCAGAGAGTATTGTCCAGTGAATATGTACCTGGCCCAGGGGTGTACCAAGGCAACCCAGCAGAAGCAGCAGCAGCAGCGTGAAATCCACACGCAACCCATGGAAATAGTCACCATACTGGGCTTTAGAGATTCAAGAGTGCATATTCTCTAGTGTGACGTATCACCCATGTGTTTAAGAATGTGGACAGCAGTTGGCATGCGTAGATAATTATCCGTGCTAGATTAACGGGCACCAGCTGTACTGCGTGGACTGTATGCAATATTTCATACAAATCTACAGGCAGACAGCCTTGATAAGGTCCATATATGATTCCAGACATAGGCAACCCGGATTCAGTGCGCTCCAGCCTTGCACTTGCACAGGCCAACTCGTGACATGAAGCCAGAGATACGGTCATTGCTGACTGCAATGGCTTCTTCTGGGTTTGAGTATTTCACAAGCTTTGCAGAGCGCCAGCCACATTGCGTTTTATTCTCTCTGAAATGTCATCCTGCAAGGCACATGTTACACCGTTGATCGGAATGTAAATTGCCCGAACAGTACGGTGTGGAACAAGCAGGTAGTAAGACACACTGGCACACAGGCCGGGATCACAGAACGAGGTTTGAGGCATTGCGGAACTCACAGCCTTTAAGCATTGCTTTCCAGCATCTAGCTGCAAAGCATGTGGTGAATACGAAAGACTCGATCATTAGCTGCAAGCAAATACCTAACAAGCGCAGAACTCACCTTGACGTCGGGAAGGTGGAAGCGCCGCCCGGTGATTGCCTCGTACAGTGCAATGTAGCTGCGGTTGGAAAAGGGGTGGTAGGGACATGGGGAAGAAAGGTGGTATGGGATAGAATTACAGGAGAAGAACAAAAATAACCTTAACTCCGGGAAGATGGAAGTGCCGCCCTGTGATTGCCTCGTGCAGTGCAATGTAACTGCGTGTCGAAGGGTGGTGCATGGAGAGGTATACAGAGGGACACGGGGAGGGAAAGATATGGAAAATCATTCCTGGTGAGGGGGTCGTGAAGCTGGAAAGGTGGAAGCGCCGCCCAGTGATTGCCTTGTACAGTGCAATGCAGCTGCGGGTGGCATGATAGTGTACAGAGGGATATGGGCGAGGAATCATGTCGGACAATCTTTAAAGATATCATTAGACATTTGCATGAATAATTATTGTAGAGTGCCTTTTGGTTAGCACAAGGATGGTGGGAGCAACGAGGAACTCACCGCCAGGACATCTCTGTGATGAGACGGGGGACCGCTTGAGGCGCCTAAAAGAAAGACACGTTGTCTCAAGGCGCTGCAAAGAACAGTGGGAGCAGCGAGGAACTTACCGCCAAGATAGCTCCGTAATGAGATGAGCGGGCGCTGCAGGGAGAGTCTGGGGGCAGAAGAGCGCAAAGAGAAAGGGAAGGGAGAAGATTTAGGGAGGAGAGATGGGAAGAAGCGGGTGGGAGGCGAAACAGGGAAGGAGGAGGGAGGAGGAGAGACAAGCAAGCCACAAAGCAAGCACATCAGCCTTCAGTTAAGAGTGCAAGCAAGCACACTAGAACTTGTTTTGGTAGTGCAGTGGCATTGAAATACCACGAGTGATTCGCCATCAAATGTCATGCCGGCAGTGTTACAGAACCCTGCCATGCGGCAGTGCTACAGGGGGTCGCACCCACCTTATCATTGTAGGGGTCGCACCCACCTTATCATTGTAGGGGTCGCACCCACCTTATCATTGTAGGGGTCGCACCCACCTTATCATTGTAGGGGTCGCACCCACCTTATCATAGTAGGGGTCGCACCCACCTTATCATTGTAGGGGTCGCACCCACCTTATCATTGTAGGGGTCGCACCCACCTTATCATTGTAGGGGTCGCACCCACCTTATCATTGTAGGGGTCGCACCCACCTTATCATTGTAGGGGTCGCACCCACCTTATCATTGTAGGGGTCGCACCCACCTTATCATTGTAGGGGTCGCACCCACCTTATCATTGTAGGGGTCGCACCCACCTTATCATTGTAGGGGTCGCACCCACCTTATCATTGTAGGGGTCGCACCCACCTTATCATTGTAGGGGTCGCACCCACCTTATCATTGTAGGGGTCGCACCCACCTTATCATTGTAGGGGTCGCACCCACCTTATCATTGTAGGGGTCGCACCCACCTTATCATTGTAGGGGTCGCACCCACCTTATCATTGTAGGAAACTAGTTTACGCAAGGAGGCTTTTCGGAAGCTAAGGGTTTTTCAGATCTGCGTTTTTTTCACCAGTTTTCACTGTTTGTTCCTTTGCTTAAGCGTCCTCTCTGCTACTGCAGCCCTTCGAAACATGAGTCAGGGTGACTGTAGGGGTCGCACCCACCTTATCATTGTAGGGGTCGCACCCACCTTATCATTGTAGGGGTCGCAGTTTTCCTTGAACCAGAGCCGCAGAAACTCCTGCAATCAGCACACGAGAGGGACGATGGGAATTGGGCTCTTCGTGTCAGGCCAGCACTGAAGGAAGGAAGCACTGCAAGCTGGAGAAATTTCTGCAAGCAGCACTCGGGTAGGTCAGAAGCAATCTGTGGTGAATACAGGGCGTGGAGTGGAGGAGCATTGACAAACGCTGAGAGAGATGATGATGACGGGGGCTGGCTTGCGGAGCATTGGGAAGTAAAGAAGCTGGAGGAACAGAGAACACGGAACAATGATGATGCACATACGAGTTTCTATTGCAGAGATCTCTCGTGTGCTGCTTGCAGACAAGCAGCTCAATGAAGTGAAGGTATCCGTCCTCCTCACCTTGTCTATATTCTGCGGCTCCAACCCTTCTGCATGCCTCTGCTCGTATGTGGATGCGATCCAATAGCGGCTGGAGTCGGGTGTGTGCACCTGGGTGGCAAGAGAGTTAGAAGGGGAAGAGCAGGGGAAGGAAAAGGAGAGACAGGGAGGAAAAGAGGGTTGAATTGCAGCCCGCTTTTGAGTCGACTCAAAAGAGGAAAAGAGGGTTCAATTGCTGCCCCTCTGCTCGTATGTGGATGCAATTGAGTCGACTCAATTGCAGCCCCTCTGCTCGTATGTGGATGCAATTGAGTCGACTCAATTGCTGCCCCTCTGCTCGTATGTGGATGCAATTGAGTCGACTCAATTGCAGCCCCTCTGCTCGTATGTGGATGCAATTGAGTCGACTCAATTGCAGCCCCTCTGCTCGTATGTGGATGCAATTGAGTCGACTCAATTGCAGCCCCTCTGCTCGTATGTGGATGCAATTGAGTCGACTCAATTGCAGCCCCTCTGCTCGTATGTGGATGCAATTGAGTCGACTCAATTGCAGCCCCTCTGCTCGTATGTGGATGCAATTGAGTCGACTCAATTGCAGCCCCTCTGCTCGTATGTGGATGCAATCCAATAGCGGCTGGAGTCTGGTGTGTGCACCTGGGTGGACGGGGAGAGATGGGGCGAAGGGAGAGGGGGAGAGGGAGGGGGAGAGGGAGGGGGAGAGGGAGGGGGAGAGGGAGGGGGAGAGGGAGGGGGTGAGACGGGAGAGAAGGCGGGGAGCAAAGGGGAGTTCCAGTGCAAGTGGACCTGACGGGAAGGGGTGAGAGGGAGAAAATAAACAGAGAAGGGTCGAAGGAAAAGGAGGGTAAAGGTAAAGCTGGATGTGACATCTGGACCTGGAAGTCTAGATTTGAATTCAGTAACTCCTGAAATCGGGGACTGAGGTGACTAGCTGTTACAGTGACATGTTCCCATCTGAATCTTTCCCAAATTCGTACTTGGTATCCACCAGAATGAGCCCTTGCTCCCCCGCCACCTGCTGTCTAAATGCCAACAGCTTCACCGCCAAGTCCCGGGTCATCTCAAGCTCCTCCCGGGTCATGAGCCATCGTGTTCAGACAAGTCAGTCAGGCTACCACACGTTGGTGATTGTCTCACCTCATCTATTAGTCGGATGTTGCCCTCCAAATCCTTCCCAAACTCGTATTTTGTATCCACAAGAATGAGCCCATGCTGCCCTGCCACCTGCTGTCCGAACGCAAACAGCTTCAGCGCCAAGTCCCTGGTAAGTTCGAACTCCTCACGGGTCATAAGCCTACGGTTTCAGTCAAGTCAGGACACCTCACCTCATCAATGAGTCGAATGTTGCCGTCAGAATCCTTCCCAAACTCGTATTTCGTATCCACAAGAATCAGCCCGTGCTCCCCCGCCACCTGCTGCCCGAAAGCAAACAGCTTTAGAGCCAAGTCCCTGGTGGTCTCAAACTCCTCCCGGGTCATGAGCCCGCGCGAGACGATCTCCTCTGGTGTGACTGGCTCGTCGTGATCGGCTGCCTTGGTGGTGGGGGTCAGAATGTTGGCTGATAGGCGGTCGTTCTTGCACAGACCTGGGTGTGTGGGGAGTGACACGGACAGATGGAGAGCGGTGGATTTTGTACTCTTGAGGCGCCTCAAGAATGGGCTTCAGTAGCACCCCCCTGGTTGTCTCAAACTCCTCCCGAATCATAAGCCCGCGGGAGACGATCTCCTCTGGGGTGACTGGCTCGTCTGCTTTTGAGTCGACTCAAAAGCCCGCGGGAGACGATCTCCTCTGGGGTGACTGGCTCGTCTGCTTTTGAGTCGACTCAAAAGCCCGCGGGAGACGATCTCCTCTGGGGTGACTGGCTCGTCTGCTTTTGAGTCGACTCAAAAGCCCGCGGGAGACGATCTCCTCTGGGGTGACTGGCTCGTCTGCTTTTGAGTCGACTCAAAAGCCCGCGGGAGACGATCTCCTCTGGGGTGACTGGCTCGTCTGCTTTTGAGTCGACTCAAAAGCCCGCGGGAGACGATCTCCTCTGGGGTGACTGGCTCGTCTGCTTTTGAGTCGACTCAAAAGCACGCGGGAGACGATCTCCTCTGGGGTGACTGGCTCGTCTGCTTTTGAGTCGACTCAAAAGCCCGCGGGAGACGATCTCCTCTGGGGTGACTGCCTCGTCTGCTTTTGAGTCGACTCAAAAGCCCGCGGGAGACGATCTCCTCTGGGGTGACTGGCTCGTCTGCTTTTGAGTCGACTCAAAAGCCCGCGGGAGACGATCTCCTCTGGGGTGACTGGCTCGTCTGCTTTTGAGTCGACTCAAAAGCCCGCGGGAGACGATCTCCTCTGGGGTGACTGGCTCGTCTGCTTTTGAGTCGACTCAAAAGCCCGCGGGAGACGATCTCCTCTGGGGTGACTGGCTCGTCTGCTTTTGAGTCGACTCAAAAGCCCGCGGGAGACGATCTCCTCTGGGGTGACTGGCTCGTCTGCTTTTGAGTCAACTCAAAAGCCCGCGGGAGACGATCTCCTCTGGGGTGACTGGCTCGTCTGCTTTTGAGTCGACTCAAAAGCCCGCGGGAGACGATCTCCTCTGGGGTGACTGGCTCGTCTGCTTTTGAGTCGACTCAAAAGCCCGCGGGAGACGATCTCCTCTGGGGTGACTGGCTCATCTGCTTTTGAGTCGACTCAAAAGCCCGCGGGAGACGATCTCCTCTGGGGTGACTGGCTCGTCTGCTTTTGAGTCGACTCAAAAGCCCGCGGGAGACGATCTCCTCTGGGGTGACTGGCTCGTCTGCTTTTGAGTCGACTCAAAAGCCCGCGGGAGACGATCTCCTCTGGGGTGACTGGCTCGTCTGCTTTTGAGTCGACTCAAAAGCCCGCGGGAGACGATCTCCTCTGGGGTGACTGGCTCGTCTGCTTTTGAGTCGACTCAAAAGCCCGCGGGAGACGATCTCCTCTGGGGTGACTGGCTCGTCTGCTTTTGAGTCGACTCAAAAGCCCGCGGGAGACGATCTCCTCTGGGGTGACTGGCTCGTCTGCTTTTGAGTCGACTCAAAAGCCCGCGGGAGACGATCTCCTCTGGGGTGACTGGCTCGTCTGCTTTTGATTCGACTCAAAAGCCCGCGGGAGACGATCTCCTCTGGGGTGACTGGCTCGTCTGCTTTTGAGTCGACTCAAAAGCCCGCGGGAGACGATCTCCTCTGGGGTGACTGGCTCGTCTGCTTTTGAGTCGACTCAAAAGCCCGCGGGAGACGATCTCCTCTGGGGTGACTGGCTCGTCTGCTTTTGAGTCGACTCAAAAGCCCGCGAGAGACGATCTCCTCTGGGGTGACTGGCTCGTCTGCTTTTGAGTCGACTCAAAAGCTCGCGGGAGACGATCTCCTCTGGGGTGACTGGCTCGTCTGCTTTTGAGTCGACTCAAAAGCCCGCGGGAGACGATCTCCTCTGGGGTGACTGGCTCGTCTGCTTTTGAGTCGACTCAAAAGCCCGCGGGAGACGATCTCCTCTGGGGTGACTGGCTCGTCTGCTTTTGAGTCGACTCAAAAGCCCGCGGGAGACGATCTCCTCTGGGGTGACTGGCTCGTCTGCTTTTGAGTCGACTCAAAAGCCCGCGGGAGACGATCTCCTCTGGGGTGACTGGCTCGTCTGCTTTTGAGTCGACTCAAAAGCCCGCGGGAGACGATCTCCTCCGGGGTGACTGGCTCGTCTGCTTTTGAGTCGACTCAAAAACCCGCGGGAGACGATCTCCTCTGGGGTGACTGGCTTGTCTGCTTTTGAGTCGACTCAAAAGCCCGCGGGAGACGATCTCCTCTGGGGTGACTGGCTCGTCTGCTTTTGAGTCGACTCAAAATCACGCGGGAGACGATCTCCTCTGGGGTGACTGGCTCGTCTGCTTTTGAGTCGACTCAAAAGCCCGCGGGAGACGATCTCCTCTGGGGTGACTGGCTCGTCTGCTTTTGAGTCGACTCAAAAGCCCGCGGGAGACGATCTCCTCTGGGGTGACTGGCTCGTCTGCTTTTGAGTCGACTCAAAAGCCCGCGGGAGACGATCTCCTCTGGGGTGACTGGCTCGTCTGCTTTTGAGTCGACTCAAAAGCCCGCGGGAGACGATCTCCTCTGGGGTGACTGGCTCGTCTGCTTTTGAGTCGACTCAAAAGCCCGCGGGAGACGATCTCCTCTGGGGTGACTGGCTCGTCTGCTTTTGATTCGACTCAAAAGCCCGCGGGAGACGATCTCCTCTGGGGTGACTGGCTCGTCTGCTTTTGAGTCGACTCAAAAGCCCGCGGGAGACGATCTCCTCTGGGGTGACTGGCTCGTCTGCTTTTGAGTCGACTCAAAAGCCCGCGGGAGACGATCTCCTCTGGGGTGACTGGCTCGTCTGCTTTTGAGTCGACTCAAAAGCCCGCGGGAGACGATCTCCTCTGGGGTGACTGGCTCGTCTGCTTTTGAGTCGACTCAAAAGCCCGCGGGAGACGATCTCCTCTGGGGTGACTGGCTCGTCTGCTTTTGAGTCGACTCAAAAGCCCGCGGGAGACGATCTCCTCTGGGGTGACTGGCTCGTCTGCTTTTGAGTCGACTCAAAAGCCCGCGGGAGACGATCTCCTCTGGGGTGACTGGCTCGTCTGCTTTTGAGTCGACTCAAAAGCCCGCGGGAGACGATCTCCTCTGGGGTGACTGGCTCGTCTGCTTTTGAGTCGACTCAAAAGCCCGCGGGAGACGATCTCCTCTGGGGTGACTGGCTCGTCTGCTTTTGAGTCGACTCAAAAGCCCGCGGGAGACGATCTCCTCTGGGGTGACTGGCTTGTCTGCTTTTGAGTCGACTCAAAAGCCCGCGGGAGACGATCTCCTCTGGGGTGACTGGTGTTAGGGTTGGTTCGCCCAACCACGGAACCTAAGGCGAAAGTCTCTACGACGGCGGAATGACGGCGAAATGGAAGCGCGTGGATGATTCTAGGTGAAACGGTGGAAATCGGCCTACGGCGTGAGAAGGGAGAGAGAAATCGAGAAGGAATGTGTGAGAAGGTGGAAGAAGCATCGAGATTGAAGTTGGCGAGGGGAAATTGTGGTTCGAGCTCGAGGCGTGTTCGAGAAGGTTCCAGATTCGGTCTTGAGGAGTGTTCACCGAATTCGGTTCGGTTGTGTGTGCGACTCGGGGTGAAACGAGGCGCACGCGGTTACTTGGGAAACAAGTGAAGTTACGAATCGCATTTTGTGTCTTGCCTGACTATAAAACTGTTTGTACTCATTCTGGAAATCATACCAATCAGATTCTGAAAATTGCTGAAGTGTGTATTGACAACTTCAAGCAGAGCTGCGCATATCATTGGAGAACACGATAGGCGATAGCAAGTAGACTATTGCCGACTAAGGTGCTTACGATCCTAAGAACTGGTATCAGAGCTTGACGAACGGGCTCGTCGATCGTCGCGAATTCACTTGGTGCGCTAAGTGAAATTAGTGGAGAAGAGGAGTCGTTCACGCCTACGCTATGGGAGACGAGGCGAGTTCGGGTTCCAGTGTGAGTCTTGGAGACCCGCAGTTGAAGGCTCTTCTCGAGGCCCTTGCGAGTGGCCGATTGGTGGCGAAACCGACGATCGGGCTCAGTGAAGCTCAGCGCTTCAATGGAAGCAACTACAACGTGTGGCGAAAGAAGTTCATTCGAAGGGCAGAGGAGGTGGACCTCTTGCCGTACTACCGTCCCGACGAGGAGACGATGGAGGGAGTTGCGCCTTCCACGACGGATACGAAGGAGAAAATAGCGGCGTTTAAAAAGCAAAGTAAGCAAGCTTTCTTTCAGCTTTGTCATTCAGTTGCCGATGGAATCGCGGTGGATTTGGACCAGTTTGCAGGGGAGCTGAACCCTGCACAGCAAGCGTGGGAGTACCTGGAGTCCACATACATGGGTACGAACGATGTCAACAAGAAGGCGATCAGGAAGCAACTGCTGACGCTGAGCATGGAGAAAGGCGAGAAAATCATCACCTACATCAACAGGGCGAAAAGCTACAACGAGGATTTGCGGGTGATGGGAGCCGCGGAGATGGAGCACGAGATGATTGACTATATCATCCAAGGCCTTCCTAAGGAGTGGGAATCCGACATCGGTATGTTTACGTACCAACCGCCGGAGAGTTTGATGAAGCTGCAGGAGATTCTGCAGTCGCTTGAGACGGTGAAGGAGATGAGGAAGAAGAAAGCAGCAGCAGCAGTTACAGAATTCGACGAGGAGAGGCCGGGTATGGTGAATGCCACGAAGGCGTTTGGAGCATGCTACCAATGTGGAAAGAGGGGGCATAAAGCGATAAACTGCTACGAAAATCCTCGAAGCAGAAACTACAAGGGCAAAGCTGTGGAGAATGATAAAGGAGAAAATGCAGGAGCGGAGTGGCAGCAGAAACGAGGTTTTGGCGGCAAGTGTGATTATTGTGGGCGCTACGGGCATCGTGCCGCAGAGTGCTACTCCAACCCGAATAGCATGAGCTACAAGGGTCCGTCGCAGCAGAGGAATGTGGCGACAAAGGCGAATGTAGTGGAAGCGGAAAAGGAGGATGTGATTTTGGGAGGAGCGCATCTCGCGAACGTGGTGCGTTTACCGAAGGAGGCTCAGACAGATGGACGTGAGAAGAGGGCGTGGTTCATGGACAGCGGATGCACGCGTCACATGACATTCAGGTCAGATTGGATGGAGAATGTGAGGGAGTCGAGTGAGGATTATATACTACAAGGTAACAGTGGGAAGTTACCAGTGACAGGAGAGGGTGACGTGGTGCTGCAGAGTCCGTATGGAGAGATGAGACTGGAGAATGTGCTGCTGGTTGAGGATTTAAAGGTGAACTTGGTCAGTCAGTCACAGCTTGATGACTTGGGGTGCAAGATATTTTATGACAGAGGCGAGGTTACAGTTTTTGGTCCTGAGTGGGAGAAGTATGCGGATGGTTATTTCAGTGACGGTTTCTATGAGATGAACTTGGTCGCGATGAACGATAAGGATGAGATCTATGAGGATCCTGAGTCTACTGAGGATGATGAGAGTGAGGACTCGGATGATATGGCTGCGAGTGTGGAGGCAGCAGTGAAGCAGGAAGAGGAGATAGTGATCATGGAGGCAGCAGCAGTAAACGGTGGAGATGGAGACGATGTCAACACTTTTGCAGCAGCGATCGTGGTTGAAGATGAAGCAGTAAATGCGAAGTGTGTGGGAGTTGAAGCTGTGAAAGGGGACATCATGGTGAAAGGATCAAAGGCGAATGCAACTGCAAAGGGGCAAGTGCTTAAGGAGGATGAACGCGTTGAAGGGTACGAGACCCGAGAGGTGTTGGGTGTAAAGATGCCGAGGAGAAGCGAGAGGCATAAGAAAATCTCTCAAGGTTTGGATGTCAAGGCGCTCAACTACAAGACACGTAAGCAGAGGTTCAAGGTGCAGGAGCTGCAGGGGAGCGTGAAGCCGACTTAGACCCTGTGAAGGCTACAAGGAGCAGGGGAGCAGTGCGAGTGATGTTCGTGGTTGACGAACCACAGGGGAGATTGTTAGGGTTGGTTCGCCCAACCACGGAACCTAAGGCGAAAGTCTCTACGACGGCGGAATGACGGCGAAATGGAAGCGCGTGGATGATTCTAGGTGAAACGGTGGAAATCGGCCTACGGCGTGAGAAGGGAGAGAGAAATCGAGAAGGAATGTGTGAGAAGGTGGAAGAAGCATCGAGATTGAAGTTGGCGAGGGGAAATTGTGGTTCGAGCTCGAGGCGTGTTCGAGAAGGTTCCAGATTCGGTCTTGAGGAGTGTTCACCGAATTCGGTTCGGTTGTGTGTGCGACTCGGGGTGAAACGAGGCGCACGCGGTTACTTGGGAAACAAGTGAAGTTACGAATCGCATTTTGTGTCTTGCCTGACTATAAAACTGTTTGTACTCATTCTGGAAATCATACCAATCAGATTCTGAAAATTGCTGAAAATTGCTGAAAATTGACAACTTCAAGCAGAGCTGCGCATATGATTGGAGAACACGATAGGCGATAGCAAGTAGACTATTGCCGACTAAGGTGCTTACGATCCTAAGAACTGGCTCGTCTGCTTTTGATTCGACTCAAAAGCATGCGGGAGACGATCTCCTCTGGGGTGACTGGCTCGTCTGCTTTTGAGTCGACTCAAAAGCCCGCGGGAGACGATCTCCTCTGGGGTGACTGGCTCGTCTGCTTTTGAGTCGACTCAAAAGCCCGCGGGAGACGATCTCCTCTGGGGTGACTGGCTCGTCTGCTTTTGAGTCGACTCAAAAGCCCGCGGGAGACGATCTCCTCTGGGGTGACTGGCTCGTCTGCTTTTGAGTCGACTCAAAAGCCCGCGGGAGACGATCTCCTCTGGGGTGACTGGCTCGTCGTGAGCCGCCTCTTTAGTTGTGGGGGTGAGTATGTTTGCTGATAGATGGTCACCCATCGAGTGCCTTTAGTTCTTGAGCCGGTCCACAGCGAGGGTGCTTCGAGTGCCTGTCAAGATGTCTCATAAACCCAACCTCCCCCAGCCCCCCCCACCCCACACACCCACCTTCAGGCAGGTCGTTCCCACAGTAGGACCGAGCCCCATCGTTGTATACGGTCCACAGCGACGTGCTTCGAGTGCCTGTCAATACGTTTCAAACCTCCCCACCCACCCACCCACCCACCCACCCACCCACCCACCCACCCACCCACCCACCCACCCACCCACCCACACACCCACCTTCAGGCAGGTCGTTCCCACAGTAGGACCGAGCCCCATCGTTGTATACGGTCCACAGGGACGTACTGGTGGTGCCCGTGATGTATCCACGCACTGGGGGACGCGGGGGGTGGGAGAGAGGTGCGAAAAGGAGGAGTTGAGGAGGAAAAGAGTGGAGATGAGTGAGTGTTGAGCCGACTAAGGGAACGCTCCCTGGTTGTACACGGTCCACAGGGACGTACTGGTGGTGCCGGTGATGTATCCACGCACTGAGGGGGCAAAGAGGGTGAGTGGGGCAAGGCGGGAGGGAATAATTGGGGGTTTGAGAGGACAAAAAAGTCAGCAGTGCACCATTGCAGACAACAGTAGACCTAGCAACAAAAAAAATGCAGTCAGGAACTTTAGCTTCAGTATTGAGAACTCTCAAAAGTGACTCCAATATAGCTCCAAATCCCACGGGTCACGCTGCAGCTCTTCTTCATGACCAGTGACCAATATAGCTCCAAATCCCGTCTGCAAGACTCAACTTCTTCCACCTCGCCCTTGGTACTCATGCACCAACGAACTCCACCCAACGCCCGACCCAACGTCTCTCTTCACGGGAAGACTTGGCATTTTAGGAAGAGCGTGACGTTGGGTCGGACAAGGAGAGGAAGGCACTCAGCTCAGCAAGCAAAGGCACTGTCTCACCATCTCCCTCTCACTCACCATCTCCCTCTCACTCACCATCTCCCTCTCACTCACCATCTCCCTCTCACCATCTCCCTCTCACTCACCATCTCCCTCTCACTCACCATCTCCCTCTCACTCACCATCTCCCTCTCACTCACCATCTCCCTCTCACTCACCATCTCCCTCTCACTCACCATCTCCCTCTCACTCACCATCTCCCTCTCACTCACCATCTGCCGCACTCACCGACAAACTCGACGGTGAAGACTTTGCATTTCCGGAAGATGGTGACGTTGGGATCGGGCGAAGAGAGGAAGGCGTTGGGTACGATGGGTGCCGTCTGCTCGAACCACCACGCGCTGGTCTGGTTCAGCACCTGAGGAGAAGGGTGGTGGGAGGGGGGAGGAGGGTGAGAGAGGGGAGGGAGATGGGTGAGCGGGCGTCTGACATGGGACGAGGTGAGGAGAGGAGAGGAAGGCGTTGGGTACGATGGGTGCTGTCTGCTCGAACCACCACGCACTCGTCTGATTCAGCACCTGGGGACAGGGGGCAAGGGGGAGGGCGGAGGGGGGAGGTTGGAGTGGGGAGGGGAGAGGGATGAGCGGGAACGGAAGAGGTGGGATACAAGGGGGATATGATTGGGGACAACGGGGCTGTCTGCCCAAGCCGAATCTGTTTTTTTTTAGAATTCTAAAAACAAGGGGGGATATGATTGGGGACAATGGGGCTGTCTGCCCTAGCCACCACGCATTCGCCTGTAAAATCACCTGATGAAAGCGAAGAGGTTGCTGAGGTTTAGCCAAGGGTTTAGGTGAAACATGTGGCTGCTGCTGTGCCACTTGGACAGGTTTAGCAAGGATCAGGGTTTAAGCCAGATACACAGGTAAACTCAACCGAGTGAAAAGAGAGGGGATAGAATAAAGACACTTCGGTGAGAATGTCGGCGAGTCATTTCAATGTGGCTTGCCTGCCATTCCAAAGGCACGGTCATGTGAAGGACTTTTCTAGTTGCCTCAGAACGTATGTTTTTTGAGAATTCTCAAAACACATACGCTGCATCATGAGAAGGACTTTCTAGTCGCCTCAGAAGGAAGTGATGTTAAAAAAGTCAGGAGTCAGTTAATGCTACGCACGTTAAAGTGACTTACCTGCCCTTTGAACGGTACGGACGCGAGAATCCGGTCGAACGCGCTTTGACGATCTGTGGTTACCACCACAAGCAGTTCTTCGTCCGTGTTGCTGTTGCTGTCGCTACTCGCCGCCGAACCTGCCGCAGGCTTGGCAGTGTACACGTCCCGAACCTTCCCCTCTTGCTTCGGCCCGACCCCAGGCACGCCCTCGAGATCTGATTGGACGAGGCATCGCGATAAGCTCTCCTCGATCGCGACGAGGATTTCTGGCCGTTGATTCAGGTCTAAGTCGATCGCTGACCGTACAGTCATGGACGAGGTGCTACGCTTTCCCTGGTTGAAGGACAAGGCGCGTGATTTCCAGGAAGCTGCGTGATGTAGGGGAAGGCGAAATGCGGGGGAGGAGGAAAACGACCGGCTTATGGAGGCGCTACCCCTCGTTTTTAGCACATTGTTAACGGAAACAGGTGAATCTTGCAACGAAAAGCGCGTACACGCGAGGGCGCGGGTGGCCATTGCGGAAAGAGCCGCGCAATGCGCGGTGGCAAGAGCTGGATTGCTCTACTGAAATGGGGCAATTGAATATTTGTAGGGGAATTTGCACACTGACGCTGAGTATGGGAGCGTATTTGGAGAATGTGTTTCGCCAATCGGATGAATTCTGTAACTGAAACGCATCTCGCATTAATCGTTTGAGGAAGTTCGTCGGACAATGAAATCAGTTACATCAGTACTTGCCGAACATTTGCGAGTTCTTGTCAGCGTCGTTCCAACTCTTTCTAGGGGAGTGCTTTGTAATACAAGCCTTCGTGAACAGCCCTGAATGCGAAGGCCACGAAACCTGGATTCTGGTTGTAGCGGAAATTCGTTATACCAGTTCACTGAATAGACGAGTTCAATAACGAGGACGATGATCAGTGTTCATCATCAGTGTTCCAGCCCAGCGTGACATGGATCATGGATTTTGCTGGGCTGTTTGCCTGAAAGTAGTAGGGTAAGTGCAGTAATATGGTGAAGTAGTGGAATAAGAGAGCTATAGGACAGGGCGCAGAGACACTTCAGTGCACGCCTGCTGTCTCCTCCGAGCCGTCGAGTCCCTCGTTAAAACCCGCGTACAGCCAGATTTAAATCCTGTCCTAAGCTTTGCCAGCCTACAGTACAGCCTGAATTGGAGCCTAAATTGGGTCTGGATCGCGCCTTCGATTGAGGAGCCATGGCGCGGCCCGCGGAGATTTTCGCGCCGCTTTTGGACCGTTTGAACGCGCCGCATCCGTCAGTGCGGCGATTCACTGTAGACGCCATCTTCGCGAGATTCAAGGCGCCGAGCACGGCGCCGCAAACCTGCGCACCCGCGCGCGATGCGCTGACGGCGTGCCTGACTCATGCCACGTCAGCCGTGGTGGACCAATCCGTAACGGCGCTGTGCGGGCTCGTCCAATCAGGGCACTGCAAGGCGGATGAAGGTTCGTGGTGATTTTCTTGTGGAAGGCAATAGGTACCTTGCAGTTTGGAAGGTAAATTCTCTCTAGTTTTAGCATTTTACCTCTACTATCGTTCCACATTGTAATAATAATGAAGAATCTATCCACTTTTTCCATGTTCCCTTCCCAACATCATCACCCTCTGTCCTTTACCCCTCTTCCTCCCCTTCCCTCCAACCGCCCCCCCTCTCCCCCTTGTCCTCCCCCTCCCCCTCTCCCCTTTACCCCTGCAAATCCCCCCATTCCGTCCCCCAGCGCTGGCGCATTTGCTGGCGGCGCTGCCAGCAGTGCCGGGGGAGGTGGTGGGGAGTGTGTGCGGGGGGGTGGTGGGGATGTACGTGTCGTGCGTCAGGGCTGACGTGGCGTGTGCTAAGGGTGACGTGGCGCCTGCAAGTGGCGGCACAGATTCACGGGAGGGGCGGCAGGGGGGGGATGTGAGGGAGGGGGGTGGGGGGAAGGAGGGAAGAAGGGGAGGACAACGACGGGAAGTGCAGTGGCGATGGACGGGAGGCACGCACCCTTTCACACGTGTAAGCGTGTTTATTAGGGGAGGTGCAATGGTGCTATACACTTGATCTCTTGTTTATAAGTCTTAAATCCCAGTGGTGATGGACGGGAGGCACGCACCCTTTCACACGTGTAAGTGTAGAGGGCAAGAAGACAAATCAGTGTTTTATAGCAGGCAATGGCCGGGTAGCACAACCCGTTTCACACATGTGTATTCAAGCGTGCTTATGGGGACGTGTTAAACGGTTTCACATGGTTGGGGACTGCTTTCGAACACTAGATTACTACCCTCTGCTGCTGCTGCTTGTGATTCATGTGCTATGAACACGCACACTAGCCCTGGGTATCCGGTCACCTTGACTCGTTGTTCGAAGGGCTGTAGTAGTTGAACAATGAAACAGTAGTTGAAAAGTGCTGCAGCCCTTGGAACAATGAGTCAAGGTGACGCTATGAACATGCACACTAGCCCTGGGCATCCGGTCTTTTGAGACGTCGCAAACCTCAATTCATCTGCCCCGCTTCCTTCCCGGGTTCTCTTTGCTCATGATGTGTTATGTGCTATGCCTATGCCTATGTGTGTGCATCCATGCGTGATGACGTGGCAAGCAGCTATTGGAGACACGGGACGAGGCGCATCTGCCTCTGCTTCACCACCTCACCCTCCTCCTCCTCTCCCCTCCTCCTCTCTCCACCACCCCCACCACCACTACCAAGTCAAACCGCACTACTAGCAATAGCAGCACCACCACCACGATAACCACCAGCAGTGGCAGCAGCAGCGGCAGCAGCAGCAGCAGCAGCAGCAGCAGCAGCAGCAGCAGCGACAGGGCACTTCTCTTCTCCTCCCTCCTCCCGTTCCTCTGCCGAGCCCTCCTCCCCGCCCCCTCCCCGCCCTCCCGCCTCCGCTTCAAGGCCGCCCTCCACACGCGATTGGTCCACGTGGCTGCCACGTCAGCAGACCTGTTCCAGCCAATCACGGCGCTGCTGGTGTCGCTGCTTCCGTGGCACATGCTATCGTCAGCAGCGGTGAGTGGTGGTGTGAGTGATGGTGTGAGTGGGAGTGTGAGCGTCAGTGTGAGTGGGAGTGAGTGTGAGTGGGAGTGTGAGTGGGAGTGTGAGTGGGAGTGTGAGTGGGAGTGTGAGTGGCGGTGTGAGTGGCGGTGTGAGTGGCGGTGTGAGTGGCGGTGTGAGTGGCGGTGTGAGTGGCGGTGTGAGTGGCGGTGTGAGTGGCGGTGTGAGTGGCGGTGTGAGTGGCGGTGTGAGTGGCGGTGTGAGTGGCGGTGTGAGTGGCGGTGTGAGTGGCGGTGTGAGTGGCGGTGTGAGTGGCGGTGTGAGTGGCGGTGTGAGTGGCGGTGTGAGTGGCGGTGTGAGTGGCGGTGTGAGTGGCGGTGTGAGTGGCGGTGTGAGTGGCGGTGTGAGTGGCGGTGTGAGTGGCGGTGTGAGTGGCGGTGTGAGTGGCGGTGTGAGTGGCGGTGTGAGTGGCGGTGTGAGTGGCGGTGTGAGTGGCGGTGTGAGTGGCGGTGTGAGTGGCGGTGTGAGTGGCGGTGTGAGTGGCGGTGTGAGTGGCGGTGTGAGTGGCGGTGTGAGTGGCGGTGTGAGTGGCGGTGGGAAGCACAGGGATGGAGCAGCAGCATGACTGTGCGTCGTTTTGGAATGAGCTGCTCTGCAATCCGCCATTGCAACTTGGTGTTTGTTGAAAGAAACTTTGGGCTTTGTCTTGTGTGTCTGTGTGTGTTGTGTGTGTGTGTGTGTGTGTGTGCGCGCGCGGGCGCGCGTGTGTGCGTGCGTGCGTGTGTGCGTGCGTGCGTGTGTGCGTGCGTGCGTGTGTGTGTTTGCATGTGTGTGTGCACATGTGTCCATCCCACACGCCAGGATCGGGAGTCCATGCTGGCAAGCTTAGGCGAGCTCATGGATCTAGCCTATGCCACGTCATCATCCACTGAATCCCAACAAACCCAACACCAGATCCCCCAAAGCAACCAACCACACCAATCCCACCACAGCCACCATCCACACTCGCTCCCCTCCCTCACCACCCGCCTCTCCGCCTGTGCTCTCGCACTCTCTCTTGAGCTGCAAGCCGCCGGCACCACCGCTGCTGGTGCATCTTCTGCTGCTGCTGCTGGGGCTGCTGCTGCAGCTCCCACTGCTGCTGCTGGTCTGCCCTCCTGCCTCTTCCTCGTTCAAAAGGCCTCTCTGCTGCGAGCGCGGATTGACTGTCAGAGAGAGGAGGGAGAGAGTGAAAAGGAGGATGTGGGGAGAAGAGAAGGGGAAGATTCCAGCATGGGTGTGGGACAGCTGGGAGGCGTCGGAGGAATGAGAAGGATGGGAAGAGAAAGGGGGGAGTCGGAGGAAGCGGAGCAGCAGAGGGGAGGGGAAGGGGATGCAGTGGAGGTGGTGGGGTTGCTGCGCCTGCTGCTGTGCGGGCTACCAGCAGACGAAGACCACATCGCTGTGCTCGCAGTGCTACAGCAGACCCTTACCAAGCTGAATCGGGGAGCTGCTGAAGCCGCTGAATCGTCTAGGCACAAAGGTTCACGTGGTGGTGGCGGTACACAGAGTACGGTTCCTCTGCTGCTGCTGCCGCTGCTCCACCTCCTCTCCTTCCCATCGCCTGCCCTCAAGCAAGATGCAGCTCGTGCTATGAATGCCTGCCTCGCTGTTACTGCCACTGCCACTGCCACTGCCACTGCCACTGCCACTGCCACTGCCACTCAGCCTCTCCTCTCCTCGTCCCTGTCACCCTCTGCTGGATCTGCCAGTAGTAAGCATGCTGCATCAGACCAGCAGCAGCTGTGGCACATGCGGCAGCAGCAGCAGCAGTGGAGACACGCAGACCTCTGGCACACACGTCAGTATGCCCACCTCTTCACCTGCCTCACCTCCTCCCAGCCTCATACATTTTCCTCTCGCTATCCAGTCGCAATCGCCTCGGCCCAACGGCAGCGTGGCACGTGGCACTCGCCGGAAACCTGGGCAAATGAGCCTGTGCCACGTCAGCATGACCTCGCTGGGTCCTCCCCAAGCGCAGACGTGGATGATGAGCTTGCTGACGTGGCAAAGTCGCTGGCGCTTTCAGACGGGAGAAGCACGCTGGCAGGAGCACCAGGTGGGGTGCATGGGTGCCACGTGTCAGGCTCTAATAGGTGGCTTCTGGCGCTACAGCAGCAGCTGAATCAGATCCGGAAAGAGACAGTGAGAAAGGCAGGGAGGGAAACATCAGCAGGCAGTGGCATGAGTCAATCACTGATCCTCTCACTCGCAGCTCTCCTCCTCCCACTCTCCACCCTCCACCCGTCCCCCTCCCTCCGCTCCTCCTCCCTC